TTTGTAAGATTTAAAATTTCGAAAAGATCTGAATTTCATTAACGATAAGCCAAATAACTAGTGAAAATTCAAGCTAAAACACACCGATTTATATTAAAGCAAGGTAAATATAGTTAAATATTAATAATAGGTACATATAAAAAAACTTTTAAAATTTTTTATTTAATGAACGGTTTTGCGACGCAATATATTTCAAAATTTTTGCTATGGAAATCGCGGATAGCTTATAAAATAAACGAATCGCAGAAATCATTTACGTAACTCTACTATTCAAAAATAAATTCGTCACTTTGACTAAAATTTCGCGCGCATTTTGTGAATTCAATAATTGCCCGTAACTCTCAGTTGCAGTCTACTCTATTTAGAAGCATATATTATTTTTATTTCATTTTATTATCTTATAAATTTTATTTTTGAGATGGTAAAATGCTGAGTAAGATGGACATATCCATTCATGTATCTCGAATATGAATATCTGATACTTAAAGATGTCTCTTTTTAAACAACAGACTGAAATGCTCATATGCTGTGTTTCGGAAACAAAGTCGGTGACTAATTTATATATTGTATTAATATATATATACTAATTAGTATATATATATATATATACTAATTTATATATACTAATACTATCTAATTTATCTAATACTGTCTAATTTATATATTTAAATTTAAATAAATCTAAACTGTCTAATTTATATATTTATATATTGTTATAACTAATTTATATATTGTCTGCCACCGACTTTGTTACCACTGAATTGTCTGCCACCGTATACCTATATGTAACGTATTTATTCGCGTAATACTGGCACCCCTGTTTTAAAGCAAAAAAAATCGTCAAAAGTGTACACCAGCGGTTCTCAACCTTTTGACTAACCCGTACCATCTAAACAAAAATTGAAAACCTTTAGAACCACCACTACAAGTACTACTACCACCACCACTCTTGAACAAAGCTCAGATCGCATAAATTTACGAGTGTTAGAGAAAAAACTCAATCATGATGCTGAGTCATTTTTTAATTTAATAGTTAAAAATACTTTGCTTCTTTGCGTACTACCTATTTTTCTCTTGCGTACCACCAGTGGTACGCGTACCACCGGTTGAAAACCCCTGGTGTACACTATTGTGTAGTAGATTTCCCCGCATAATATCGCACCTAGAATTTCACAATAAAAAATTAGGAAAAAAGTGCGACTATTAAACGAGTAAACACGGTATGTTAGAAGGTCAGGATCATTTAAATTGCAATGCACAATCAAATAAAAATGTTTAAAAGAAATAAAATAGCGTCAGTATTTTTCTGGTTAATGCTTCCTTCGCATTAAGGTATTCCATTGATGTTAAGCTGGCGTTAATAAATGTCCCGTCTTCCTGAAAATTAAGGTCTCCTTTCAGACTAAATGCATCCAAGAAGTCAGCAAACAAACGCACCTGGAAATGGTTCTTCATATCTGTAAGAAAAAACGACTGAATTAAGCGTACGTACGGAAATAACTGAAAAATAAATATTATTCTCAATAATTAGGAACCACTTAAAATGAACACCATTTAAGAAAGAGTTAAGCTATTTTCATATTTCGAATTTAACCCATCCACTCAGAAATACTATTAGATCATTTTTTAATCAATACTTTTTTTCAGAAAATCAAAATAACCAACGTAGTTTGAAGCAATGGTCTAATTAATTTTTGTTTGATTAAAGAACTATACTTTTACTCTTGAACATTAATTTTAAGATTGTCATTTAAATACAGATTGATACGAATTAATTGGGGAAGGATATTCGAAGGCGCAGCTGCAGAATTGTAACCGACACAAAAATATTGGTCATTTCATGAGAGTTTGTTTAATCTGAATCTCCAACCCTAAATTGTGGTATCAGTGCCTTAGGATTCAAGTCAAACATAAGACATAAAACGTCGGCACCTCGGCATGCAAGATCTTGTTTGCACATTTTATTAATTTAATAAAGATATCGACTGATCGCGGCAAATTCATGCATATTCACTTCTTTCGCATACGGGTACCTTCATCGCTATGTAAATTCAAAGTAATACTCTTATTTCAGATAATAATGTCGGTGCTAATATATGTGAAGTAATTTTGCATGAAGATTGTGTGCTTTTATTTCACTTTGTCTTTTAAGAAAATAATCAGTAAAGTACTATTTGCTTAAAGGTTTCGGTTGTGCTTAACAGTGGCGGTACCATACTGGAAGCATAATAGTGGCGGTATCGTAGTGCGTCTCCTCACCCTTACAAAAATCTCGTGCTTTTATAGCAGAGTAACGTTACAATAATGTCCTACTTTCATGTGCAAAAGAAACCCATATATAAATTAATTCTGGGGCATTTCGTTCCTGCTTATGTAAACTACGGCTATAAGCTAGATACCATGCTTCAGTGCCAATATTTTATAAAGCCGCAGAAGATAATACAAGGAAATGATGCACTATTTTAATTTGCGTATTTTGGGGGATTTTATTATTCTAACTACTCAACGGTTAGCTTATACCATTTCAGCTGTTTCAATGTTTCATTTGGGGGAAGTAAGGAATAGTTTTATCAGCACGAACTCATCATTAGGATTAATTCATTATTACACTGATAAGATTTTTTAAGAACAAACTAGCGCAAAAGTGTAGACAAAAGTCAGTTAAGACTCATTTAAGTTTCAGAAAATAACACTCATTTCGATGTCAGAAAATTTGTAAGTAAATGCAAATTTTTGAATGAAACACATTTCTAATTATGTATGCTTTTCATGACACTAAATTTAAATTAAACAGAGCAATTACCCAGTACTAAAAGTAAATTTTTTCCTTTAATGATATCAATAAACTAGTTGCCAACTCAGCACTAAGCACTAGTCTAGGTCATTTGATTTGTTGAGTTGCAAGATATGCTTAATATGAAATACTGTTTTATTATAAAGGAATTTCGGGTGCATATAGCATCTTTAACCCTGTTAGTTTATTGAATGATTATTTTACAAGTGTTTCTTAAGCTATAGTAATCTTCAACCGCTAGTGAATCATTAGGGAAGCCTCATGCTTTACGTGATGATTTCCTTAATTATCTGAACAGCAGTATGTGTATCTAGGTACATCGGTCATTTTCAAAGAATATGTTGCAAATATCTTCTCTAAACTTGAATTTAATAATCATATCTATGAATAAATCATTTTTGTAAAGTATTTTCAGATTACATAATGATAATTATAAGTTCGTAGGATCTAATCATACGAATTACAAAAAAAAATTTCATCGTTCTGAACAAATTCATGTGCATCTAAAATCTCTAGTTTAATTTCTGTTCCTTATACAGTACGTCTGTTGTTCGGCCATATAACAAAAAAACAAAAAGAGAGATAATAGTGTTTTAAAAACGGGCAATTCAAACAAAGTTACTAAAGTTTTCGGTTTTGTTATTCTTTTACTCTTACTGTAATTACTTTGCCGTTTTTTTACGTAGAATGAAATGGGGGAAATAAATTGTCAAAAGTACATCATTTTTGTAGTTAAGTGCTTAGCTGCATGCAGTTCTGGTGAACAACGAGGAAGCTATTCTTCTGCAACAATAGTGAAGTCTTGATAAGTAGCTGATGAGCTGATGAGTAGTTGCATGCAGCATTTGTACTATTAAGATTTCCTCATCAGTATAGCAGTGATTCTGAAATGGTTCTAATTTGCGGTTTGTTATCTAATCGCTGTACACAAGTTTATATTTCCCTTTATGTACATGTTATACCAAACATATTTATGTTCCCTTTTCGATATCGCTGTGCCATTTCGCTGCATACTGATGTGCCGCTTCTCATCCGTTGATTGTAAAATGTGGAATACATTATAGAATCATGCATTACATTGATGAAGAAATTCGTCAGAACTTAAGTAACCGTTTAAAATGATTTTAACGTTTCAAAAATTGCATTTCCGTTCTTTTAATTGATATTTGTTTGACCACTGATATTTGTTTGACCATTTAATGTCTGATTTTTGGTTTGATCATTTGCATTCAAAATGAAATTAATTAGGATCTTAAAAGTAATTGCATCCAACCAGTGAAGTTTGTTTAGTTTGAATATGTACTAAAATCCGACGGTTCTTTTATTTCCTTCTTAAAAACGTATCATCCGTAAGACATGCAAAAAAGAAACTGTTATATAGCTAAACTTGTGGAATCAGCTGCACAATTCTACATAGTTGATTTTAACTTAAATGTTTCGTTTACGTAAACCAAGTGAGTGAACTGAAAACAGATATAAAGTAAAGTTACTGTTGAATAATTTTAGAACAGGTATTGTTTGATCCTTACCAATCAAAAGAAAATAAAATGTTTGATCAATTCGAATTCAAGCAAAATCCGAATTATGCTTTCTGCTAATAAATTTTGATTGTGGATATTTTTTCACGCATCTAGTTTTAAAAACTGAAAATATGTGATTACCAGTTTCCTTAAAATAAAATATAAAACAGGTGTCCTCAAACCTTTTTTACGTCATGCACCCCATTCACCACTGCTAGAAGTTCATCCACCTCCTTTCCAAAACTTGAAAAATACATATATATTTATTTAGTTTAATTATTTTTTAAAGTGTTTTATTAATTAAATAGCGAAAAGTATAGAAAAAGATGATAAATACCGATTCGTTGGGAAGGAAAGGGAGAAGACAATTTGGAATTCATGTTGTACCTAATCCTGCAGCTCCTACATTTAATAGCACAAATAATGAATAAGAATGCTACAAATAACAAAATAGATTTATTTAACTGTGGACTCTTCTTTAGTTTTGTTGCTTTCTTTCATCTTTGCTTGTTCTGTCTGCACTTGGCTTTGTATTCGGCCATTAGAAATATATATGTATATATATATATTATATATTAAATCAGAATGTTGAATAGTGATTAGCATGTCATTATGTATATTAAAGACATAAGCTAATGTATGCTAATACTGGGTTGAATAATGCTAAATTTTTTGTTCCCCTTCAGCCAATCAACAGTCAGAAAATATCCCAGCCTGGACTTTGGGCATCCTACTGGACGTAAAAAAAAAAAAAAGAAACGCCTCCAAGTTTCTGAAGAATAAAAGAATGTGGATGGAAGCCGGACAGCTTACGCAGAATATGGGTCAGGACATGAAGGAAACATTTCACACAGCTTTCTTCAAAGCGTATTTAAAACAAACCGTGAAAATAATGGCCACTTTGAACTTTGCTTTTATAAGAAGGTAAGAACTTTGATTTTTCCCCCCCTCCTGTTTGTTTAATTTGTTGACTTTTGAAGAAATTGGATAGTTTGAGTTAAATAATATAATTCCTGAATAGTGTTACAATCATATGAAAAGTTCCTGTGAAAATTATTGATGTTTTTAATTTAGAGTTCTGTTTAAAAATTCACCAAATTGGGGAATTGGATATTTTTTCAATTTAGATTTTAGATGCGTAATGAAAAAATTAATGAGGCAAGAAAAAATGCATGATATGATTATTCATAGTTATCAGTGAATATGTCATTTTACATATTAATGTACAACTAAGAAGCTATTTTAAAACAATCTATTTTTTGAGTTAAGAGTTTTACGCACGAAATACCCTTTTTTCACAGGAATTTTAGAATTCCCTAATGTAACATAAAATTATCATTATCGGAGCAAACGCAAAACAGCTTCGAATAATGACCAGCACATTTCAAGGTGCTTATAAGAGAGAAAAAGTAACTGTTTATAAAGCGGCCGCGCATAATCGAGATTATTATTTTGAAGTCGTTCTATAAGAAAGATTATCAAATAGTTTAAATATTCCATATGGGGTTGAAAAAGTAAGGAATTGTGTTTTATTTTAACGTCAAAATTGAGGAAGTAGTTGTAATAATTTAATAATAATAAAATCACTTACATTTTCCAGAATAAATTTAAAAAAAAAAGAATCATTTTATATTCGGCCAATGGAGTATATTGGAATATTTATGTTTTTCTTTTTCTTCCCCCCCCCCTTTATTTTTTTTTTGTACGAATGAGTTCGAATTGTCATAGTATACAAAGTTGTTATTTTAGAAATTTCATTTCCATGCTGGAAACGAAATTAATTGCGCCTTAAAAGTAAGAAACAACAGAAGGTTTGCCAACTAATTCAATCTTGATTTTTGTTTTACTAATCCATAAAAATGTATGTACAGTGGAATTCCATTTATCTGGACTTCATACAACCGGGACATTAATTATACGGATCTTTTGTTTGACTTTCTAGGATGAATGAGGATTATTTTATTGTTAATTTGCAAACTTTCTTTTCAGTTTTCCGTTGAGAAGGGTAACACAATATAGTTCCTATTTATTAAGCAGGCCCTAAATTAATTTAAATTAATGGGCACAATGCGTAAAATATCCCACATTGTTCGGAAAATATGTAGCCCGTATATAATGGAAAATGTATGATATGCTGTGTTTATGGTCCTTATGCACTACTTCTTAAGTCATTGCTTAAGTAAAAAAAAAAAAAAAAAGGTCATACAAATATGGTGCTGTTATTCTTTTTAACTGCGTAATCATTTTTACAGTACATTTAATTTTTTTAATTCAGTAATCAAATTTAAAATATAAAATATAGAGAAAATAAAATTCTCTTACTTGTATAACAAATGCATATTTTGTTTACGGAAAAAAAGATAACCCTGTTCCCCGGATTTTTCGAATATCCGAATGAGATATATAGTCCCAATTAAATACTTAGATTTCTATTGCAGTTGCAAATCAAACAATAATTATTTAAGCTATTTATTTAGGGTGTTTAGATGCATTTTCAGGAATTATTCTTCTACTTAATTCTTTTCGTGGTTAGATAGATAGTAACCGAATATTGGGCAAAATATTATCTACAAGTATGCTCTGTTATACCAAATATTTCGTATCAGATCAGAAGCTTTTATTTTGATTTCTGAAGCTTAACCATCGAAAAATAATTTAGAACAAAATTAAGGATGAGGAATTATTTTTATTCTGTCACCTTAACGAAAGATTGTTATGCGATTGTTATGCAAGGTTAAGTAAAAAGGATTTACTTTTAAAGCGCAATGGATTAGGATGCACTTTTGACTCCGTAACCATAAAAGAACTTTACCTTTATACGTCTTAAACTCGCGCATTTTTTAGAAAATAACCAGTTAACTAGTTATATCGAGAAAGGCATACTAATAATTAATATTAGATCCATTTTTTATCCCTCGAAATTCCTGTAAAGACGATATAAGGCGGTTTCTAAGCATTAGATTTTTATTCTCTAATTTATTTGTATTAAGACATTACATTAATTCAACAAAATATTCTTATTTTGAGTAGCATCTTTAATAATCAGTAACACTTTCTGATTATTCAAAATAGGAACTATTAATTTTAATTTTAAAACTAATAGAAAAATTTATTGAAAGAGTTAAAAAAGTAATTGATGTATTTAGAAGAAAGTGAATTTACTAGTTTTACTAGAACTATCCTGCGAACTAGTTAATATCAGCTAATTAAAAATCGCATGAAAAATTTTGAAGGCTAATAGAGTACGAAACACTTACTTAAATTTTTGATTTAGCACTTCAGTAATTAATTTTTTTAAAGATTTTTGGAATGTTTAGTATAGCATTTAACAGTTTTAATACGGATTTTGAAAGTAACAAATCCAGCGCATTTATTCTACCACTAATTTTAATTTAGCTTTACGTAATCCTTAGAAAATGATTGATTATATCACTTTTTTTTTAATTCTACAGTGTAATAAAGAGTGCTCCATTAAAATTTTCTTATGCCTTTTTTATACTTTATTGGTTTGATACTGAAGTCTTTCTCTGGGTGAAATGGTTTCATACATTGCGCTGTGTCTACGTCAAAATTTTATTTCGGACATTGCTGGGGGGAGTCAAGAATTTTGCATTTTTAAGAAATTAAAAATTGTTAAAAGTATGTTGAAGATTTAAACTAATAGTATTGTAAGCGATACAGTGAACGTTTCTCGTTTATACGTCTTTAACATTTATACGTCGTTTCATGTTGGTCCCGATTCAGTGCAATTTATTTTAATAGAAAAATATTTCTTTTATACGTCGTTTTATCTTGACTTAACGCATTGATTTTACATTTCGCAGTCTGACAATTAATGCATTTTCCCCACGAATTGAAATAGCAGAAGGAAACAAAACCATGAGACATCACAATCTGTTACAGGAGTTGAAAATCAGTTCATGAATAGAGGGGATACTTGAAGGAAAAATAGATATGTTTTTTTTCCCCCTTCTGAATAGCATGCTGTGTTGAGTAAATTACAGGTGGAGCAAAATTAACTGATACAAAATGTCACGAAGGCGAAAGGCCCTCTCATTAAAAGATAAAATTCAAATCTTAACGAATTTGACGAGAATATTGGTTTGCCGAAAGCCGAGTTAACAAAGAAATTGAATATTCCTGTGACAACACTAAAAACAGTTAATTATGATAGAAAAACGTTGTAGAAAGAGCAGATATTTGTGGACAGTCAGCTTCAAAGAAACTACGTGATCAAGATAAAAAAATTTTCTCTGGTCGAAGCCATTTTGCTAAAATTCTTTATTCAGAGTCGGACATCCAATATTCCAGTGAATGGGTCATGTTAATTTAGAAATAAAAAATATAGCACTTCAACTGAATTCGAAGGAAGCTTGCTTTTCGACTGGATGACTGCATAAATTTAAACTGCGGCATGGAATCTCATGTCACATAATAAATGGAGAATCAGAAAGGATTCCCGCTGAGTTGGTTGAAGAGCAGTCCAAGAATTTATCGCGGAAAATAAATGGATATGAATTTAGAGACATATTTAATGTTGCTGAAACTGCTCTTTTCTTTAATTTTTTGCCTAAAAGAGACCTAGCTTTCAAAGGTGAGCAGTGTTATGGAGTTAAGCAAAATAAAGAATGTCTCACTGTTTTACTTGTCGCAAATGCTGATGGTACGTGAAAAATGACACAAAAAAGTCACAAAATCTAATGTGTTTAAAAAACTCTGCTATCAGAATATAAAACAAATAAGAAAGCATAAATGACTGCGGACATTTTTACAGAATGGCTTACAAAAATTTTGAGGAGACAAAACACTAATTGAAAACATTTTACCGGATGAACATTTAAGTAGCCAGAATGAAGAAGAAAATGAAGATACTATCCCACTTCTTTTTTAAAATGCTCTCTACACCCTCAGAAATTTCTTTGTATGTAGTAAGGGGGAAGCATTTCAAGAATTGAATTCGATTCAGAGCGGTCATCATAAGATTCAGAATCGAAACACTCGTCAGACGAAAATTAAAGACTTTTCATTAAAAAAAAGTTAAATATTTGCTTCAAAATGGTCTTGGAAAAACATTTTTACTTATTCAAGATGATAATTCAAATAAAGCTCTGCCCCCCTTTTTTTTCAGTTTTATGTAACTATGTACATAAATTTGTATTCTTATGATTTTAAAAATATTAATTATAAAAAGTTGTTTTAATTATTTAATTGTTTAAAGTATTATTAATTAAATGTTTATTTAAAATATTAATTTTAAATTTATTAGAATATAGCTAATATCTTAAACAAGTTGAATGTATTGTAATAAAATTGTGTGCTATCAGTAGTAAGTTAGTAGCGTCAAAATTGTGCAGCTAATATGTTTCACATCGTAAATTAAAATTTCGTTTATCTCTCTTTCTCATTTATACGTCGTTCGTGACTTATCCCTTGAAAGACTTATAAATGGCAATCAACTGTATAACATTCGAAATGATTTTTGTCATATCATGTTAAAATGAAACGAAGCCTCCAAAAATGAACAGCTTATAAAATAAATTTTATAATTTTCAGTCTTTTAATGAAATTTTATTTTAATACATTATCTGTTTCATTTATGTTGTCTTAAAGCATTGGTTGAAATCATTTATATGAACTACAATAATGAAAAAATTATAATTCATTGTTTAAAACGACAAATTCGTCGTCACACGAATATGAATCATTCGTGAGAAACTGAAAAATCGGGAACTATATGTGTTTACTTCGCATCTTTCTTTTCTTGTCATTTGATACTAAACTAAAACAAGAAATAATGTTCATTGTGACTAACAGCTAACTTTTCATGTGAAAAACTGAAAAACTGGGATTCGAGTCATTTCCTTGACTTCTTTTTATTATTGCCATTTGATACTAAACTTAAAGGAGAAATTATTTGCATTCCC